ATTGATTCAGTTGGGTATAGACACTGGATCTATCCAAAAGACTTGGTTTCTAGAAAGAAGAGCTCAAGTCAAATCTGGCAATTGAAACAGTGCAAGCAATGGATTCAGATAAAATAGTCTGATATCACAGTTGTTAAAGTAAGGTATCCTCCAGTATCAATGCAAAAAGGTCCCAAAGCCTTCCTGTTTGCAAAAGGCGTCTATCATAGGGAGACAAAGCAAAACAGGCTCAGATGGTTCACTCGCAAATGAAACAACGGACGGGTAGCGGCAGCCCGTCAAAGATGCAAAAAAAAGGGGGTGAAGAGGTAAAAGGTAGGCAAAGCCAATAGTAGAAGCGACGAAGCTACCGTTTTTTTGGAGTTCATGTCAAGTCATTATCGAGGAGTAGCTCTCTCGGAATAGTGATGCACATGGAGATAGAAGAATGAGGAGGGGAGAGTGTTGGATGTGCAAGGGAACCGGATGTGCACGCGATAGGGGTTACCGCTTCAACGAGCTGCGATTCAACGCTTCAAGTAGCTCGGGTCGATTTGCGAGGGCGGTGGCAGCGTGTGCATAAGAAACCCACTGGCGTCTCCGCTTGTGCATTTCGGGCCACTCGGTTTCCTCTCGCTCGACGGTGACTTCAAAGAACTGGTATGACGCTTTGGGCGCTTGCGCGGTGAGAAGGCCGGAGGGTCTCATGTCCGGGATGAGTCCCAGATCTCTGATCACGATGCAGATGACACCAGCTTCTTCCCAGGCCTCACGACATGCAGCCTGCTCCGCGGTTTTTTCATCAAGCTCCCATCCACCCTTGGGGAGCACCCAGCCTCCGGGTCCTGCGGACTGAATCATGAGGACTTTGGTCTTGTCGGCGGAAATAGGGACAACGCCGGCTACCAGTCGCTCGCCTTTTGAGCCGTACCCTATGACAAGCCGTTAGAGTCAGGGAACACAGGGACAGTGTAGACGTAAGGGGGACGGGTTCCCCCCACGTGCGTGGCCGTAAAGCGACATCAGCGAGAACTCACGTTGGTTTTTCCGCCCAACGCGGGCTTCCATCGACCGTATTTGAGCCATTGTAATAGACAATCGGATATCTTTGGAATTACTCCAGGTTTGGGGTTTGGAAAGTTCCCAGAGAAGTGAAGAAAGAGAGAAAAGGAGTGGGAAGGCCAAGGAAATCAAAAAGGTCAAGAAAAACCCAATAGATGATGCTTTCGCAAGCTCCCTCGGAGCCTTTTAGGTCTCTGAGGTGAGAGAGAAGAAGCTCCCGGTATCTGTGGTGTAGAGAGCGGGAGCACAGCACGAAAGCGGTCGGGGGAAATTTTTTTTTTTTCTTTGGATATTGCGGAGGTGGGCAATGGATATCAGGTCTTCCCGTTCATGCCTGACGGGGGATTGGAATGGTAAGTGGAAATAGGCATGGTTTTCAAAAGAAGATCTAAGAAATGAGAGGTTATTGAGGAATGGAGAAAAGAAGAGAAGTGGGAATGGAGGGGCACGGCGGCGCAGTCCGGGAGAATAGTCAAGGTACGGGGGTTTTTTTTTCTTTTTCCTTTTTTTTTTGCCTTTCTCTTATTAATTTCTTTTCTTCTTTGCATATTTACATTCACTTGTCTGTGTTATACATGCACTGGAGTCACTGAAGTCATTATATAGCCACTATAGTCATTATAGTCACTAGACTCACTATAATGAGTAGCCAGTTCAATGACCTGGAGTTTTCTCCTTTTTTGACTCTATATATGGTCATGTGACTCACCATGAAGCACTAGAGATGTTTCTATATTTGCTATCGACTATATTTAGCTATATCCTGCCATAATCTACTAGAATCTGCCATGGTCTACGGAGTACATTAATTTTATACCTATAAGTTACCACTCCGATCTCCGATAATTCCAACCTCACCCTCTAAATGTGCGTCGGGTAACGAGCCTCTTAAAACCTACGGGATTTGCTGGTACCGAGATGGAAGAAACTCGGCCGATTTGACCAGAAACTATAAGATCGGCCCTGTGGCTGAAGAGAGATGAGATACATATACCGTTTAAAAAAAAAAAACTATAGACTTAAATAACTAGAACAAACGTACACCTAAATCAAGTCATACCCCCCCTTGCCGTATAGAACACGCGATTTACAATCCCCGCCGACTTCGCTAGCCTCATCTTTTACTCCCCATGACTACAACTCACATCCACTCCCTTCTGCACGCCTACACATATTTAATCTCACGATGCAACGGGTTGACGCCGAGCGCGCGCGAGAATTGTCGCTGTTCCGCCCACTAGGTACGTCCCACTCTCCCGCAGCGAACCACTGAGATAGATCTCTGTTACCCCGTGGCGCTTCCACTGGCCCCGGCCGCTACCACTGAAGGGAAATTGGCGAGGGTCTCAACACCAATGATCTGGCCTTTGATCGTCCAACCCCTCTTATGCAAAGACTAATGTAGTGTGATTCTCTTAGGTTACGAAAAGAACTCGTGTGGTTACTGCCAGTCCAGAGACGGAAGTTTGTTGCCCCTCCCCCTGTTCTGTTCTTTTTTTTCTTTCAGGGCTAGAATGGTTAGGCAGGGATGCTGACATGTAAAAGGTGCATCGTACTACGTCCGCTCCAATTCCGTACTCCCGGGGCATTATGAAGAGCTGATCAATGGCGGGTGGCGACGGTAAGATCCCACCAGTTGAATTTCCCTGTAACCCATCAGACCACACTAACATTTTTAGATCGGGAAATCTTTACTACAAACAAAATCTGCTTCGGTCTTGTTGTCCTCACTATACTCTGAGACTGGAGGCATCCGTTTATCGGCCCCGCCGTGATCAGCGTAAGGCCATCAACAAGTGGAACAAATTTATCCTAGGTCCGGAGTATATGCGAAAGGCAGCCCGGCTTTGTCCACAAACCCGCGAGTATGTAATCTTATATTTGTCAATTTACTATCAGATCATTTACTAATGAATGCATAGAGAGAAAAAGCACCGCAAGTGCAACTTCGACCTTCTGTCAGCTGTCCATCAAAGCGAGTACGGCCACATCAAACGGCCCATTGACCCTGCTACCAAGCATCCCATTGAACCAGCGCACCGCTTTGAAGTCACCATTGAAGGGGACTCTGTGTCTCAGGCAAAGTTTGAGCTGTTCCGCAAATACCAAACCGGCATCCACAGAGAGGATTTCTCTGAGTTGACACCTAGGGCCTTTCAACGCTTCTTATGCTCAGGTATCAAGCGAACTCCGAATCCACTGACAGCCACCAATGCCTCTGAGAAGAAACTCGGCTCATGGCATCAATGCTATCGTCTTGATGGCGAGCTCATTGCTGTTGCAGTATTGGACCTGACCCCCAACGGCGTTAGCTCCGTCTATGTTTTGTAAGCTGATGGCTGACGGTACCCCGAAATACCGATGTGACAAGCTAATGTTACGCACACAGCTATGATCCCGCCTACGAACAATGGGAGATTGGCAAGCTGAGCGCCATGCGTGAAATTGCCTTCTCGATCGAGAATCGGTATCAGTACTACTACATGGGTAGGTCGCAGTTGTGGAACTAAACCCCTGTTCACGCACCTCTAATCGAAGTATAGGGTACTATATTCACTCCTGCCAGAAGATGCGTTACAAGGCCAATTTCCGTCCCCAGTACATCCTCGGTATGTTTCCCTCGTGTCCTTGTCTTAGTACATATATTTTTTTGTACTACGTGAAAATCATGCACGGCATCTGACCCTTTTCTCTGCTACTCAGACCCTGAATCCGGCGACTGGGATCCGCTCGCTGGCGAATTGACGGAGAAGCTTAATTCCCGTTCCTATGTCTCTTTGTCTCGGGACCGAAGATCCTCCCCTGAGCCTGTGGTCCCGGAAATTGACGGGGATCTAGAAGAGGTTTCCCTCTTTGATATCGGTATGCCCGGTATTCTTACTGCCTCTCAAGTGGAAGCACTGGACCTGGATCATTGGCTGCTGTGCTTTGACGGCGGTTTTGTTCACATGAATGTAAGCACTCAATTTTTTGAGCCCCCTTGAGCGAGAGGAACATCTTTGCTAATTCCAACTAGAATCTAGTCAATTGGGAAACCATGTCAATGACTGAGCCAATGTCTATCAAGAGAATCGTCGCCGAGTTGGCCGCAGTCCTGGGCCCTAAAATTGTCCGAAACAGTGCAGTGGATTTGATTGGTTAACCAAGATCTTTCACAGGCAAGCTTTGAGCCTAGGTTTACTACCACCAGGAAAGGGGATGGAACAAAAGTAGATTAATTGTGTAGAATAGTTGATTCACACGCAATTCAGTCAAGTCCGCAAATCAAGATAGTCTCTTCTAGTTTCCTTAATTTCAGATCACGACGATGGAACCCTTAGCAGTTGACTTGGTAAGTCTATAGAAGTCTTCAAAATCAGGTAGTATCTGCTATACTCAGGGTTGATACGTGACGTGTGTACTGCCCAAACTCCAATGTCACCAATCGCGCCTTCCTCTTCCCGCGTACCTAATTAGGAACCCCTACTTTAGTATTTAATCCACTCTCCTAATCCATTCTCTTCGGCAGTAAAATATTTTCTCTCTTCTCTCTTCTCTCTTCTCTCTTCTCTCTTCTCTCGCTATCTTAATACCCATACCCTTTCGCCTGGGCCTTTGGCACCCTTAGAGCCAAAATCCCTTGACCATCATTCTTCATATACGCTAGCCCTCAAACGGGAGGTGCTTGGCCAGGTTTGATGCCACAGAGCGCAGGGCCTGTGTGAAAAAGACCCGAATTCCAGTAAGGAGCACCTTCTGGACATCGACAACTCTCTACTAACTCTACAAGTACCGATCCCAGGATGGGATTAAGTAGACATTTCCATCTATTGGACAGCTGCTGGAGGTCCTTTATGATGGGGTCGCGGTAAACCAATCGAAACGGAATTTTATGGGAGAATAATTGCAGGATTCAAGTCCAGCCATCTTTCCACGCGCTGCGAAGATTTTGGTGGTCGAAAGATTCTATCAACAAAAGCATGCCTTTCTTTTCCAACAACCCCGAATACGCTTTGGACTCTTCTTCACACTCGCAGTTCAGTATCGCTGGAACTCGGTCAATTTTCTCCACCAACCAACACAAACCCCATATACGTTTTACTTCATCTCGTTTTCCCTTCAAACGAGCAACCTTGAAAACATATTCAATCTCGTTCCAGCATACAAACACCAATGCCGTCAAGAATGGCCACAAGCTATCAAAATGAAGATAAGAGTGAATTCGAGGTGAAGGGTCACTCAAAGTGGACCTTCCTACCGGTTGAGCGCGAAGTCACTACGCTGCAACGGGCCCTTCTCGAACAGACCTGAGTGCAGAACATCAGATAGCGGAGACCTGTGATAGCCTGCGTTAAGTAATTGTATAGTACAGGCAACGAGAGAGACCATTAGCTCTATTTGACAGCAGAGACATATATATCCTCTTTTGAGAGACGAAGGTTAGAGGGCGACTTCAGGCCCTATAAATAGTCGTGGGCGTACAGAACTACTAGGCTTCCTCGCCCATAGCAGGTAATACTTTAAATTGACAGCTTAGGAAATTCCTATGCTTCCTTTTGCATCACTCCCATCTACTTGCCCTTGTCCAGCTCATTTTCCTTTTGTGCTCTTCCATCCTTCTTTCGCTGCAAGTCCATACTGGAAGTTTACTTCGCACCAGTAACATGTATCCAGTTTATTAGACCAATCATACCAAAATTGCAATATTTCTTCTCATAAGCCGGAATAGTCGGCAAGCACCAAAAAAGGAATACACCGTATAACCCAGGGACAGCACAAAGTATAACAGCATAATCTAATGTATCGCAAGCGAAATTCAGACCGGAATGTTACCGCTAGAACTAAACCGCAGCCATACCCGAGGGCAAGATGGGTAGCACTAGTGACACACCGTAATGATTGGTCGTTTTTGTAGCCTTGGACGTTATCGGTCGCTTTGACTTTTCCCTTTTGTGTATCTTCCTTGATACACATATATGCAAGTAGTCAATCCCAAAGGTTGGCATGGATCTGGGTTCTATTATAGAGCAATTTCAGTTTCAAAGACTAACAGAATTCAGAAAATGAACTGCCTGCTTCTGGATAACCTATATAGCACCCGAGAAGCTCAATTGAGATACCCAATGAGCCAAATTATAATGTATGTTCATGATAATGTTGGTACATACAAGGAATAAACAACAGTAATGTAGACATGATCGCGTACCAGAAGTCTCTACGATTGGATAATGTCAAGTATTCGGCCAATAATCACAACCATCTAAAATTAACCCTGTAGCTTGTGAGACATATTTGCGGTTCTTTCGAAAGAAGCTCGAGCTCCGTATAAATTCGACTGACTGAGATCTCTTTTCTATATTCGTTTAGTCGCCTACTCCAACATAAGATGCACATCTTCCAATCCCTCTATAAATGTCTGGAGCATGTCTGCATATATATCAACCAATTCGTCTTGGAGACCTTAGCCCAAGGTCCCATCTCATAATATATAGACAGGAAAATGTCTAACAAGTCTTGGTTTTCCTTTGCCGTTTTAGTGCTCACCCCATGCTTTTTACTCACTGAGTAGAACTGGGCATGACCTGAGCGCTCTGGTTTGCTCACTGAGCAGTCTGATCATACCATGACTTGAGCAAAGCGCGGGAGCAGCGTCAGCAGCTCACCTCAATAAAATGCACCACGCTAGCCTCATCCAAATACAGTTGGTCTCCAGAACCTTTGACCGTTGTTCCCTCAACGAAAGGCTGGCATTATCAAATTGGTGGTCGATCCCAGTTGTTTCGCCTCCAGCTGGGAATATAGTTGCAGAAAATATCTAACCCTCAATATTTGGTTCTACGATATCTAGAAATATCTCAAACTCCAACTAGATGGTTCGTAAATCCTATATAGCTTTTATTTCTTTTCTTGTCATTTCTTGTCATTTCTCTTTTTAGTTTTATTTACGCTTGAATAATATGGGCTTTGGCTTGGCACTAGCACGTATTTGGCAAAAGACTCAAGACTTACCCTTCCTCATCTCTTCTCCCCTCAACCACCAAGTCAAATTTCACACAATCGAAAATGAAAACGATCGGTTAAAGATGAACGACCTCCGAAATAGCCTTTGCACCTACCCAGACTGGGGATATGTCATCTATCGCACTTCCTACTCTGCTGAATCAGATACTCTATTCCCAGACGCTATCAGATACATTGAGGCCTGTATTAAACAAGCATTCTTCCAAGAAAACAAAGAAGATCCTACAAATGAGCCGAACGAAATTTGGGCCAAACACCGGTCGACTATCGTGCAAGACCCCGCGCAATTTAACGGGGCGTCTCTCGAGGCGATTCGCGCTCATTTTGAGGCCTGGGTGAACGCTCAAGACATGCGTGACGATTGGACCAAATGGCGAATATGCATGATTATCGATGAAGAGTCTCTGCAAACGCTAAAAGGTACATCAGTCGCGGCCCTTGAAAATGAAAGGCTAGAGAATTCCGATGATAAGCTACGATGTGTAAAGGTTCTGGAAGCATTCCCGTATACGGATCAGTATGACAGATTCCCGGGCTGGATGAAATGCTGGACATATGCGCTCTGGGATCTCTGGGCGATGATGGGAGATGGTGATGAGATGAGGCAGTTGTTTGACTGTATTGATGATTTTCCATTTGAGGGGGTGTACTGCGGAGGATTTAGTGATGTTTTGCAATTCACACGTATAAGGCAAATAGGAGTTAATATCAATGACCTGGCTTTGTCAATTAACATTTTAAAAATTCCAAGCTATCAACTGTTGCGATAGCTAACACAAACAGATCTTGGATACATGTTTCGATTGCAGAGTCAATGTTATATCCCTCTACGCCTTCAGCCTTGAAAACTTCAACAGACCTAAAGAGCAGGTCGATGTTCTTATGAAGTTGTTAGAAGGGACATTTAGAGAAATGGGCGAGAATGACTCATCAATGAAGAAACACAATCTTAGAATCCGGGTATTTGGTCGTTTGGAATTGCTAGAAGACCACGTTTTAAGGGCTATTTCCAAGACTATGAATGCTACCGAAGATAACTGGGGCAAGATTGTGAATATTTGGAAACCGGGGTATAGTTTTAATTTTGTTGAGATGGCAAAGCAGAAAAAGAGCACTGGCTTATATGTGATTTGAGCTGTTTCATACTGGCATTATGCGAGACTATTTTATCAGCCTCTTCATTTTCGTGATATCTTCCAAACGCCTTGCTCGGGCCTATGGCCTCTGTTCAAACCCGTCAACATCGCATGTACCTAGAAAGGAGCGCGATATTGACGGAATGCCTCCAGCGTCGAAGCTCCATGCAACATATTTTGCAATAGAGTAGGATAGTCCCACCCACACCCAGTCGCTGCCATGGCAGTCAGACTAGCCTGATCCTCACGACCTGGTCGACCAGGACCGGTCATGTTCTAGCAGTCGAGGTCAGCATATAAATCGCAGTCCCTATTCAAATAAAGACACATACAGGTTTCATATTGATATCAAAAATAGCAAACTCTGACCCATGCCGGAATCGTCGAACGTCAATGCGGATGGGAGCCGTTGCTTTGATGAGACTTGCCACCTCTTCGCATTGACGCATCACCTGGTCATAATGTTGGTCCCGCATCTCGTCCTTGGTGACAACGCGAGAGTTTGCAGTAACAGCCACTGTGCCATTGTACGGCGCGATACCTTGGTTGTGGTTGAATCGGGCCACAGGAGGCATACTCCAATACTCCGCTCGGTCGAGGGATGGGGGCATCACGGTGATTGTGGCTTCCTCGCCAGATAGAAATTCCTCTAGTAGGACCACGGGCGATTCTCCGAACAGGGATTCGACATGGTCTTTCAGCTCAGAAGGAGTATGGCAGACTTGCACTCCATGGCTCCCGCGACCACGAACCGGTTTCCCGACAACTGGGTAGTTGGGGATTGACTGAAGTAGGACATCTAAGTTGTCTCCTTCATTCACAACCCACGATTGAGGTAAGGTAAACCTCCCTCGCTGACGCAGTTTATCGTTCAGGTACATCTTGTCATCGAACTTCTCCACCAGACCCGGTGGTTGGCCTACGACCTGTAGAGTCGGAGCATAGCTATCCAGGCAGGATGCTGTTTGGAGAGGATGGGAGGAGAACACGATCGTATTCGCCCACAAGTATATGGCGCCTTGGCTTACTGCGGAATATATCCCTTCTTCCGAATCCGGGAAACACCAACCCTCATCATGCTGGGCAGTGGGAGGGGAGGGCTGGGGCGTGATGACATCGATTCCCTTAGAACGTAATGTGTATGCAATATCTGCGCCTGAATCCTGATATCCTGTGACAATTCAGCGCTAGCAATTATCGTCCAAGGAAATGTTTTGGGGTATCTTACCACCTGGTTTGCGTGGTTTGCGGACTCCGTTGATTGTAGGAGGGTCAATTGCTTGGAATAATACTGCGACTATAGGTTTGCTAGAAGAAGTATTCCATTCCGATCTTTGGATGACCCCTATGGACCGTGAGGCTTTCAGCATGGCGAGACAATTGAATGAGTTGTAAAGTTAGAGTAAAGCTATGTATAGGCACCCCCGCCCCCACGCTGTCTCCGAGTGTGGGGGTAACTTCTCGGACCGATCCTACTTTATATGAAGTAGGTATAGTCACCCATGGCGTTTCAAGCTATGCTTGTGTTTATAGCAAAACCCAACAGTTCTCCCAATTTCATCTTGTTCTTGAAAAAATGCCAAGAGATAGTAACACAGATTACCTAACTAGGCTACCTTTGTGCAGAACCTCTAGGCAGAAATTTGGGTGTATAGTAATGTATGGTGTGCATGAAAGATATGTATGACTCTAAAATGACAAGCCGACTAAACGTAATACACACTTTTGATATTATGTATGATAAAAAAAGGAAATCTAGCATCCACACCCAGCGAGGCAAGAATAGTCAGTGACTTATAGGGCTTTGTCAGGTCTTAGATATTAGCCTTTCGGAAATCTCTTTGATGTTTCGCTTTTTAGTAGTGAGAAATATGCACTTAAGTCTAAGAAGTGCTGTGATCACGTAGAATACTTCAGGCCTTTGCTGTCTCACTGCAAGGCTATATATTCATCCCTCTTTCCCTCTTTTCCGCTGGCTCTTCTCTTCATATAAAGAATCAGTACAAGCAGCGATGGAATAGACTACGTTCAATATATCCTTACAAAGGCCTGACATGACTCACTATATATATATGGTCAAAGTATTGTTTCTCCTGTGCCCCTTTCCTCATTGCCCTAGATCCACATTATATAAAATAGATATAAAGCGAGTACCCAGATATCCATGGTGTGTCAAATTGTGCCTACTAGATTTATAATACCGTGGAATCTAACGACTACAATATACTCATTTTGTTTGTTTCTCAGATTCCATCTTGTGTGGATGGGGGGTATTGTAAGTTCAAAAGACCTTACTTGCTTTCTAACCTTCTTTCTTTCTTTATGCCACTCCAAACAAATATCCAAACATCACCATGGCCACTTGTTCTTTTAACAGACCTGGATAAAGCTGACCAAGACAAGCTTGCTGGGGTTGTACAGTTGATGCTCGAGGATGACCTCAAATATTATCCGAAACACTACTTTAGAGCCAACGTCCAAGCCACCTCCGATATCAAAATTTGGTCGCCCTCCCGATGGTTCCTTCGCTCTATCTTTCAGCAGGGCATCAACCTGGATAGCCAAGGCAATATCCATGGTCTTGCGGTCCTAGCATTATGAGCCGGTTGCCCATGAATCATGATGAAGCAACCAAAAGCCATCTCTCCAAAGGTCGTGGCACCCGCTGTGACCCAAGAGGTGGAATCTCTGTGATTATAATATCTACAACAGATCTCCAGTCCAGGGCGATGCCGAAAATCCGGTTCTCGTATACGACTTTCAAGTGTCCTAGTTCCGATCCGCCATCAAAGACTGGGGACCCCTATGGTATTGTGGATCACAAGGAATCGGAGGCTTCATGGTACATGACAGGATGGGCTATCTTCTATGTTCTATCATGACCGGAGTATAGAGCTCGTCCCATGGGGGTAACACAGAATCAGGACTCGATAACGGCCTTTGAGTACTAGCCGCCATAGTTCCTTTGGCATCCGGACCAACCATGCTTGCCATGCTTGTCAAAGAGGCAGTATTTCCCAAGACCTGTGGGTTTGTCTGAAATCGTTTGACAGACGAAGAGGCGCAGAGAATCCAGGATATTATGTTGGGAGCACGTCATCCTTCCAAGACAAAGTCCGGTATGCCGGGGCAATTCACCTCCCACGCCCGACTCCCACGCAGATTCTCCGATATCTCCTGATCTTCGCAGGTCCTATCCGGAGGGATATGCATGCCTTGTGGCATGTTGTCAATTTGAACCATGCGGATCAGACTTGTCAGGTGGCATGACTAACCAAGCCGGTATGACTGACGATCAGTCGCAATATATATATGTATACATATATGGGACATTGGCAGCCAGATGTACATGGAGCGTTAGCCCGATGCGTACCCTACAATGGGTGTTTCTTGTTCAAAGAGCCTTGAAGACGCAATTTTCTGGAAGCAAATGCTAAAGAGATTTTTGCGTCCATAAACACTATATCAGCACTATATAGGAGGGCTCGAGATTTTGCAGCACTTTCTTACCTTGACGCCAGGCCTCCCCGGCGAAGAGGAAAGGAAAGAGATAAAGCTGTCTGACAAAGCAGCTTTGGTACAATGGCACCCCGAAACAGAGGCAATGGCAGAAATCCTAAGAAGGATAGAATCCGACAGCAAAGCCAAGATCCCAGCTTCCGAGGTGATCGATATCGACCTAGAACTTTACGTTCTTTTCCCGGGAGGTGCTCCAAATCGGCCTAGCTGATATGAAGGAAAACCAGGTGCTCGATTGTTTTCCTCGGGATAGCGAGGGGATGGTATCTTCCTCCTCGCCCCTCTCTGCACCAACTGGCAGCAAAAGGCCCAAAAAAACAGCAAGCCAAAGCCTATTTCACGCAAGATGGGGCCTCTCAATGCAAAGGAGGTGGTCAAAAAACCCCAAGAAGCGGGTATTTCAAAGAATACAATCTTCCTCTCTTGGGCATCATGGGGATTTGACTTGTCCTATTTAAGGGAATGGCTCGAGCAAGAAGGCTTTCACAACATTCTCCCCGGTAATGAGAATGTTTGCTTTACCACGAGTTCAGGGCTAACTTGAAGACGTTGACTGATACGAGCTGCTACCACGGCAAGGCATTTCCACTATCCCTGCAGTGTTGGCATGGTTGTGGTTTCTTTTTTGTCAATGAACAATTCGCGGTTGATCAAACCGCTATCCTGGTTTCGGTAAAGCAATTATCTTGGGGACTCGGCACACAACCTACTGGAGTACCTGTCATTTACATGGGTGCAGCCTTTTTTCTTACTGACATGGACTTCTTTTTGGATGTCTTTTGAAACGTCGCTTTTATATACATATCTTGGTGTTAAATCTAGAAGAATGGTCAATAGCTATAGAAGACATGCTAGACTTATTACTCTACGACAATATAACGGAAATATAAACGGTACAAAAGACTTATCTATATATAATCAGGGACTTATATAGGAAATTTGCATAAGAACAATGACTATGAACAGCAAAAAGATTCATTCATACAACCACAAAAGAACCCCATAACTGCACGGCGCCATGAAGTGAAATCAAACCAGCTGGCGCCACATATTTCTATCCCTTTTCCTTGCAAAACCTATTTCGCCACGAAACCAAGCGCAAGGGGAAAAAAACACAAAAGCAGTCATTCAAAGAGGCACAGCAGGTAAGCCACCAATTCCCACGAAAAAGACCGCAGCCGCGGATGCCCTGCCACATATGCCCTAGAACGCCAGAGAGGAGACAAAAGAGCAGAGACAAAAGAACCCAACCAAAGGATGCTATGCCAAGATAAGAAACGAGGCCAAAAGAAGAAACAAGACACTAAGACCAAGACTCAACTTAAGCCTTCACTCATCATCATCTCTCCCCTCCAAACCATCAATCATAGCCCGACTGGGCTTCCTCCCTGCCCCATAAACAAGCTCCATAAGCTTCGCTTTCTGTCTTTCCCGAACAGTCCGCAGGTAATCGTACGTCCCCTCCAACCCACGGATCTGTCCATCGATAACAGCTTCAACGGGTCCAAGCATTCGGCCTGCAGAGCCGGAATTCCCATTCCCGCTCCCCCCGCCCCCATCAACAGACCCGACAAAGCTGACAGAGTCATTCCGACGCACAAGTGGGCTGACTAACTTCCTGCGTAGTGTCTCGAGGTTAACCTTCAGTGTGAGTAGTCGGCCGCGGTGGTCAACGAGGAGGTGTTTATTAGCGACAGTGCGACTGCGCACATTCGCGAGGAGTTTCTTATTCTTCTCGTATTTGCGAACAGCCGCGGCATCCGGCCCTAGCACGCGCGTCCACAGGGAAGAGAGCATCTCGCCCTCTGCGCGTTCCTGGGCGTCTGATTCGCGGACGACCGTGCGCTGAAGATTGAGGAATTGGCGGTCGATGGACTCGAAGAGCGCGAAGAGCGCCGTTGAATGGGTGAGTTCGCTGTTTATTGATTCTTCCAACACGGAGAGGAACTCGGTGAATGTGCGGGTTAGGGTTGTGCGTGTGCGCTGCGCGGAGGTTGGCCCGAAGACAGCCATTACGAGGTGACCAAGGGGCGTTGTTGTTGTTGAGGTTGCAGAGACACCGCCGCTGTCGGAAACTTGGGCCGAGCGTTCGAGCGCGCCGAGGCGTGAGAGCATGTTGTGCATGTTGTCGAAGACTATTGTGGGGAGGGTGCTTGGGGGCTGGGCGGAGAGGGTTTCGAGCTCGCGCTTGGCCCAGTCCATTACTATTAGGATGGAGTCGATGTCTGAATCGACGTTCGCGAAGAAACGGGTTAGCTCGAGGGAGAGGGACTTGAGTGAGTCGGAGAGCTCGTCTAGTTGGCGCACGATTATGGGCGCGCTGGTCATGTTTGTGCCGCGGACGGACTCGCTCAGGTCCCAGACTGCGACGCCGGTTTCTTGCAGGGTGCCGATTTGCTGAACGCCGTTCTCTGAATAGTATATCAGTGGTTCGAAGGAGCGCGCGAAGCCGGATAGCTTTACTAGATCGGGGATCGATTGTGGGAGGCCTGGGAGGACCAGAGCGCGCATGAACGCGACTGAAAGGAGGAGGATTATGATAGATAAGGTAGTGTTAGACTTGGAGCTGGTCATGCGCTCGAACTTTGAGCGCAGATAGCCAAACAACGCGGCAATGGGTTCTCGGTGCTGGACTTCTGCACGCACTGCAAAGCGAATGTCTTTAATCATTCACAACAATCGTTAGTATACCCGCGCCTGCAACTGAAACCAGATCAGACAGGGCCTACAGTTGCTCAGATTCTCCGCACCAAAGCCCACCCCGTCGTCCTCGGGACTGTGGCGTGGTGTGCGCCCTGTACTCGGAGCCGGAGGCGGACTTGGGGATCGTCCGTGAAGGGGGGTATCTGCACCCGCCGGTAGAGGCACATTAGCCGCGACAGAGATGTCGCCCGGGGTAGCGCGATCGACCTGTCTACTCTTCGTGGGACCCTCGGATGCATCCTCATACTGTGGACTTGGCTCACGCGACTGGGACGGAGAGACGCTGAGCCCGATTGTGGGCTTGAGCTGCAGGCGATCCGTAGTGAAGTTATCCTTGCGCAGATAGGGCTGGTGGCGGTACCATCCACTGCCCTGGACGTATTCGGGTTGATGGAAGCCTGGGGGTGACCAGCGCTCCTGGGCCGGGTCCTCGATCTCTCCATCCTCCCCATCTGAGTCCTCAGACCGGAATCCGGAGTGTTGGGATGGCAGCGCGAACATTGGGGACCTATGGGGGTTGGTATTGTTCTCGAAGTCTTCGAGCGACGCGTCCAGGGATGGATGGTCGTCGAAGACGTTGTCTAACTCGTCCAGCATCCCGGACGGCGTATCGCGATAGTCGCGCCTCGGAAGAAGAGGCACTGCAATTCTCAGCGACGAAGCGCAGATCAATGCCTATGAGTGGCGATCACTTGCGGATGAACCGGTTTGACTCCTTAGGTAAAACTAGGGTGGTTAGTATATGCGCTGGGACGGTGTCTCCCTGCGCTAGCCGTTACAGAAGAGATCTGAGCAATCAACCCCACGCCAAAGATGCGATAAGGTATGATGCGATGCGATGCGACAAGGCAGGTATTGGATTCTAAGGTGCAACACAGGATATGTCTGAGATAGGCACATTCGATAGCTGATGTTGGACAAGATTGCGATCAGGAAACGCGCTGAAGATTAATATGGAACTGGGATCGAAACGCCTCGTTGAGCAATGGAGGAATCAGGAATGAGAAGACGAGAAAGCATGCATCCCCTCACTTGTATCCAAGTCGAGGAGGTTGGGCCAATCAGCCTGACCCCTGCCGGGTCATGTGCTGAGACTCGAAGCCAACACGGCGTGTACACATCAGATACCGTAAATGTACAAGGATGGTACTGCGCGAGTACTTTTAGATTGTATAGTCCCTGCAGCGACCATCAAGGTCCTCATCAAGTAACTGTCAAGTATCTCCGTGCCTGACCGCCCATGTTTGCCCAATCAGTACAGCCAGGACCATCAACCAATCATAAGACAGACCTCCTTGATCATCCGAAGAATCTCAAACACTTTGGAATAAGCGTGCATGACCCCCCCGTTTGCAGTGCGTTTGTTCTATCAAATATCA